TAATAATAATAATAGTAATGTGTCTTTATTTTTTTCAAATACATATAAAGGTGCGTATTCACCAAAAAAGCGAGCACGAGCGAGCATGAGCGAGCATTCGTGAATGTTTGCTCGTGGTCGCTCGTTACAGAAAGCAAGAATTTGGGTTTATGGCTAGATGATGATCTGAGATTTCACAAACATATAAATTCACTTTGTCGTAGCTCATACAGTATCTTATGTCAACTCTATCAAAGTAGAGATATTATGACTTCCAAATTGAAGTTGAAACTTTGCGAAACCCTTATATTGTCTAGATTAGCATATTGCGATATAATCTACGGGCCTGCTTTAATACAAACTGATGTAAATCGCTTACAAAAAATACAAAACAATTGCATTCGTTTTTCTTATGGTGTGAGAAAATTCGACCAGCTTTTTTGGTGAATACGCACCTTTACATACCACATGAAAGAAACAAGGAGGCGGCATTCGACTTAGTTGCTCTTCCATACAACTGCTTCGCTGGCGTAAGTGTATTATATCTGAGGGGGACTGTTTTGAAATGAACAAAATAAAAATTCCTTATTTTTTAAACAGACTACTTACAAATAAAAATGGCGGCTTCAATTTTAATTGGAGATGAACCCCGAATATTTCCAAAACCGGTTAAAATATCAAAAATCCCCTTCACCTGTAACTTCAAGGGAATACATTCAGAGAGGCCCAAGCGACATCCACAGTTTCTTCCTCAACTTTTTTTCATGTTCTATTCTATCGAATAGAATTTCTTCATAGAACACTTGACAATTTTGAATTATGGCTGTATCTGGGCATGAAGGTAAATGTTTCATTCATTTGAACATGATTTCAGAATATTCAAATCATTCCTCACGATGGGATTTTTCAAATGATGCATCACACATGGTATGTTGCTATTCAAAAAAGGTGAGGAGAAGCTGGAGGCGTACAAGCGGTGAACTACGAATGTCACGTGGGCGAAATAATGTCCCTCTGAAAACCTCAGGGATCTCGGAAAAATTTTGATATTTGTTCCATTTCAAGATATTCCAAAGAGGGAAGATTTCCTTGGGAAGCCCTCTATACAAATGCATGGACTAATGTGACAATGAAACTCCGTACGAGAAAGTGACAGAGCACTATGAGAAAAAATAATCAACTACTTGGGCAACCAATTCTATCTAGTTTGAAAACAAATTTTCATTCTCATGCAATGATAATGAATATTTTGAAATTTATCGATCGTAGATACGAATATACGAATTTTTTTTCTAGAATAACCAAATACACAATTTTTTAAATAAATTAAATGTGAAAGGCAAATTACTGAATTTGCCCTTAAATGTTCACTGCAAATTTTATTCAAAAATTCACATAGGTCCATCCAACTTGTCACATTTTTAATTATTAATTTTGCCTATAAACTTCAGAACAAATACAGCAAGCGCCAAACGTGATGGCTAGCCCCCCCATACGCTCATTTTCAATATAACCCCCACTACAGCTCTTGCAAGACATACAAATGCTATGTACAGAGGTATTAACTTGTCCTACAATGCTGTTTGCGTTTGACATTTTCTGAATAATTTGTGTATCTGAAAAAATGTCATCGCCTAACAAAATACCAGTATCAAGAGTGTATCACAGAATAATTATATAACATTTCAATGAACTGTACTACTACCTATAATAATAAATGAAAAATAATTACAAAAAAGTCANAAATAAAATATGAAAAATAATTACAAAAAAGTCATGTTTCATGTGCTACCCTAATTAAAACTAATTATAGGTACGACACTGGCCGGCAAGAGGTTTATCGTAATCCAATAGTAATTTAGTTGGGAGAGTCTATACCTGCGCGATCGTTCGCCATCACGTTTGGCGCTTGCTATATATGAATTTCAAATGAAAATATACCCTCTTTGGGGGACGTTTCGAGAACTTTCTCTCTTCCCTGTCTCGAATCTTGATTGAAATTGCGTACAAATATATAAATATTGAATTCAAAATCTCTAGAAATTGAATGACTATTTTTTGCATACATTGTACACTAGATGTTGTATTTCACTTGGTATGTAATAACCCCCAGTTCTGCTCCCTTTCACAGGAGAGATAGTTATTTAAGATCGAATTTAATGGAGCACGATTCTCCGATTTCCGTTTAACATTTATACAAGCTGTTTGTACACGCTTTATATTAGCTTCACTTGTATGTATGTATGTTTGTCCTTTTCATTTCATATTGGGATCTGTATGACAGAATTATCGACATTATTGCTTGATCTATTCGGGGGCAGATGGCAGTGTACGTAACCTCCTTGATATATCATTATGGATTGATATATTCGCGGGCAGATGGCGCTGTACTTAACCTCCTTGATATATCGACATTATTGCTTGATCTATTCACGGGCAGATGGCGCTATTCGTAACCTCCTTGATATCTGTTTCAAAATATGTTTTTTCCGTTAACCAGCTGTCGCAGCCCTACGAACGACAACCCTCAGAAGTCGAAACTTGTGCGAGCTAAGGATTAACCAGGTCGTACCTTATAACGTGTGATTCCTAACACAGGTTGGACGATAGCAAGTGAAAATCGATCGTTCATACTGGGGTTTGAACCACTGACCAATACGGCAGTCAATTCGACGAGTGAGTGAACAAAGCGCCCACGTCGAACCGACCGGCTACCATCATTATTGCTTGCTTTATTTGTGGGCAGATGGCGCTGTACGTAACCTCCTTGATATAAGTCGAACTCACTTCACATGTATTTCTTCATTTGAAAAAAGTATTTTTTTAATAACATGCGCGCCTGCTGCCTTGGGCTTGGTAGCTGATTTTCAGGCTCCCTCTCCAGAATCGGAAAATGTCAATGGCCATTTTTCTAAACAGTATACGGCTGATTGACCCCAAAAGTTTAGATAAAATAAATATAGTTTAAAAAGACTAAAAAACACGCTTTTATAGCGTACGAAACTAAAAAATACAATATAATATATTTTTAGGTTTTGTATACGGCTCCAAGTCGAAATATTTATGTTTATTAAGATAATACGTAAATTAATATATGGGCGTTCCTATAAACTGCATGTTCAATAATGCCCAATTGAGTATTCAAAAAGTTGCATAATCTTATGACTGATAACACTAATGTATTACTTTTCTGTATTCTTTTTTTGTCAAAAAAACTATTTTTCTAAATGGTTTTTAATGTAATCATCTCATTAAATAATGTATTGATTTGAAATTACACGGAAAAAAAGATTTGTTACTTCAAAGAAATTTATTGAGTCTAATTTATTTAATCATTTTGATTAAATATTCATTTCAAACGATGTGTGTATTGTATCGATGATGATAATTTTGCGGAGACAAAATGAAGTTCTCATTTTGATTTCTCTAATATTTCAATTCAAGAGGTTTTTTACTTGGTCAAATGAATTGTAGATCATTTCAAGAATAACATTTATTGAGTTTTCAAAATAATTCGGTTGAATCAAACAATAAAATTTCATCAAATCAAAAGTACGTCTGTTGAATGAAAACTTTCCAATTCAGTTTAGCAGTATGGGGTGCGGTTTTGACACTAATATATAATTGAATCAGCTGAATATTTATTTTCACTTCAACAATGCATATCAATACATCAAACTTATTTTGGAAATAATTTCAAGACTATGGATAATTTCATTTCAGTATTTTTATTATTTGTTGGTTTGAAAAATTAAATTATTTCCTTGAAAGAAATGGTATAGTTGAAATACTTCTAATGACGAAGAGGTTTACAGTTTCTTTTTGATTATGCGTGGTTTGAAATTTTTCAGTGTTTTCACAGGTATGTTGATATTTATATATTTTCTTTCATTCCATATTTTGAAATAATTATTAATAGCATCGACAGCTATCCTCTATAAAAGTGGCTTGAGGTTCTTATTGTTTAATGTAATGACTGAAGGAAAACTTCCATGTTTTCAATTCTGTATTTAAGAAAGTAGAAGTTGTTGAGTGAAATGATTATTATTGAGAGGTAGGTATGCATACACTGGGTACCTAGTTGACCTTTGATCTTTGGATACGGAGGAACTGGACATTTTCAGAGTAAATACAATTAAGGTGTTTGCTACAGAAATAGATGTCAGCGAAGAACTGTACCTTTATTTCGAATTGTACATTTCTTACATCATATACCGAATCCTTGAAGGAACCTCTTTTTAAGATTTTTCTTTCAAAGAACATTGTGAAATAATCACAGTTTTCTCTTGTATTACTTTATTAAAATCAGTAATACCGAAAAAGGAAAGTTATTTGTAACATATTTACAGAAATGATGACATCCAACAAAACTGCACGAACTCAAAACATGCAATATAATCTCTTNAACATAATACTAGTAGAAATCATTTATTCTATCAGCAAGATACTTGCAATGAGGTATAAACTTTGTTCTTTCAACTACTATTGATTACTTATTCAACAAAATCATTACTTCAGTGGAAATTTTACCATTATCAAAACAAGCAAAGTTCTCCATCATCCTGCAGATATGTTATGTTTCCTCAACATAACTTTTACTCAAACAGAAAATACATTTGATTATTTCAATCACTTCCACTATTTCACCCATCTTTAAATGTTGTTTGTTTAATAGAATATTCGAATTACGCTAAATCATTCCCGCTATCAATTAGACAAAATATTACTTGAATTCAATTCTTCTTTAAATTGAAATAACTGATCGATGTGATTGTTTCAATCAAAGATTTGTTTGATACAATGAACATTTGCTTGAAGAAATAGTTGGGAGTCAAGAATTCTTTTTTCTTGCATCAACAAAATATTTTGTCGTGCATATATGACACTTTTATTTCTTTGAATGAAGTGAATTTTATTTCATTCAACAAATCTTTTTTTTCGTGAAGTGGGCGTCAATTGCCTAGGATATCTCATTTATTAAACATCATTTCGACATTAGAAATATATAAAAACGACACATCCTAATTTTACGGATATTTTAATGAACTAAACACAGAACCATTTATCATATATGCATAATAACATTCATAGCTATTATTTAACAATAGGCAATATAACAATATCCCAGTGAAATATAATCAAAGCTGTTAGTTGAACATCAACTGTTGAAATAATCACGAGTACCTTATAATATATTCCGGACAAAAGTCATTATCGAAATATTTGACAACGACGTTCCCATCGCTTTTGGCAGACGTATCAGCTGGTTCTGGAGGTATATACAAACCAGATATACCTGGACATCTAGCTACTTCCAAAACTTTAACGACGAACATAATTCTTTCGCTAACAAAATGCTTCCGAGGAAACATGGAAGCGTAATTAGAACTCGGCGAGAAGGATACCCCACAACCGAACTTGCTATATCGATAACCACTGGAGCCCATCAAACGCCAATCAAAATTTTTTCTGCAAATCGAATCAATATTGCACTCCTTGGTGCCGTGGAACAAACTTGATTCGGAAACATATACGTGCCTGCTTTGCTTTTGTTTCAGTTTGAGCTGATATTGTACGTACAAGAAAGGGCACTGGACTCTTTGAATTTGTATAATATTACTAAGAGGGGAGGTAGATTTGAATCTTCTCTCGACTGCATGATATTCCGGTGAATTCCCCGATAACTTCACCAGCTGGTACGCTGTATTATTATCCATCCAATTCCACTGGAGTGTGTCTACGTGACTCAGGCAAACGCTGAGCACTGACGGATTTTTCTGGATTTGAATCGCAGGCTGCACTACTCTATTTTCATCATTCAACGAGAGACTACCGAAAGTGTCTATCAAATCGTCGTTCATCTTCACTTCTTCACTGCACCGACGAAACTACGAAATGACCTACGAAAGTAGTTAGTATCGCGAATTAAATGTCCTTCGCCAGTTATGAACTGCAATGCACTCATGCGCTCTCCAATCATTTTATTCATGAACGATGGCTCTGTGATTTCCCGACGAGCGTGGAAATCGAGATAATTCGTTTTTATCGTCAACCGTGTTGCTATTTCACTGTGTCACCGATAATTTTGAGGAGAGTCTACAGTCTACAGGAACGCTATTCTTGAGTTTAGGAAAATAGAAATGCCATGAAAAGAAAACAAAAAAGGGCGTGGTTGTGGAATGTTCTACTTTTGAACGATTTTTATTACAAAGTACATAAAAGAATTGAATTATCTAATTGCTCTCCTAGCCCTGGATTAGAGAAATTGAAATAGAAATCGCAACCTAAAATTCATTCACGAAACTCAATTTTACAGCTGCCTGACTCAGTCATGGCAGGTGAGAAGCCCCTTCCCTAAGATGTGCAGTAGATGTGAAGAAATCTGTTATCAGTCTGTTAGATTATTCGAGCCGTAAACATCCAAATTCAAGACAGTATTCAGTTAGTGATGGAGTTTAACATACCCAACTTTACGACCCAAACTTTACGCAGATATGATTTCTCCCACTGGCCATGACTCAGTCCGGTAGCTATTTCAGACCTTTCCAAATAAGAAAGAATAACACGCTGAAAGGGTTGTATTTCCACAAGCTGATCTAATCGAGTTTTATGTTCTTTATGTCTCCAGAGTTTCATAGTGTTTAGATTTGAATTGCTTCACGATTTTATGCAAGCGGAAGCTCGCAAGAAATCACAGGATAGAAGTATTTTGTGACTTTCAGTATTCATTTCAACTTGTTGAATTATTCAGAGAAAAAAATATTTTCTTTCGAAGGTACAATTGAAATGTTTCAGTTTGATTAACTTTTCATTGCCCAATTTTTTATTCTTGGAAGGTGAATTAAAAACCATGGGAATATATGAAAAAACTTTTATATTGAATGAGCAGAAAAATATAATAACCAAAACGAAACACATTATGCACAAAACGAAACACATTGACAATAGTATTAAAGAATGAATGCCTCTTCACCATATTACCGAAAATGCTCAATCAGGTGGATAAAACAGTTTTCTATATAATAATAATAAATTGTCTTTATTTATACTGGCAGAGTTTAGCTTTGGTTGTGTTTGGAATTGGATAGGTTTCAAATATCACTTTTGAGGATTATGAAAAGCAGTTGGTCTTTCTAATAATTGAAAAATATTTTTGATGTAAGCGATAACTCCACAAATAATAACATTCAGTAGAAACTTATTTGAATTTCCAAGTATAAAACCGCGGGTATGCCTTCAAAAATTCATTCATCACTCATTTCACATCTAATATATATCAATAAATACACGAAGTTCGTCACTTAATTTTCGCTTCTTCTTACGCATAATGAAGTTAGTTAAGTATTTTTCTGAAAACTCGTATTTAGTATAAGCTGTGATACGAGCTGTAGTAGCTGTGATACAAGCCGCGGGCTGTGTTCTGGACAGCCTTGATCTAGAAGATTTTTGTTCAAAACAGAAAAAAAGTTTTTAATTCTATAGTAATTGAAAACTTGAAGTTAACTAAGTTTTCCGAACATGAGTGTGCGTTCGTTACCAGAAAACACTGAAATGTTGTCCCAGGTGATACCGGAAATGACAAAATACGTTTTCAGTGAAATACTCGCATAAAAAAAATCAGTTACTTCCAATAACGACAAAAAATGAAAACACTGTGGCAACACTGGCAACAATAAATTCGCTGACACTCGTTTTCTGAAGAAATTGATCGGGCCGGGCAATCCCCGGGATAGTTTAGATGCGCAGCCTCTAGTAAAAGCTAAATAGGTATTAGGACAAAAATAATAAGTCGCAATTGCGAAAAGGGATTGCGATAAAACATTCTGACAGCCATGACAGATATCATGGAAGTAACTGAAAATGTTGTTAACCAAGAAATATTAAACGTCAATGTGGAAACAGCTACAGCTTCACTAAACAGTGGAAAGAAAACTTCATTTGAAAATGCAACAGTACGAGAGGAGACAAGGTGCCGCACAATCCGGAAGGAAGTGAAAGCAGTTGATGATTTCGAGTGTTCCGTAATTCCCAGAAAAAGGTGATGTATACTCAAAAATTTATTACTTTTTCTACAACTGAATGAGTCAACATAAGGGAGAAGAACCTACAAAACCTCAAAGTTACACTTTGGAAGATTCTCTCATCCCTTTTTTTTGTATCAGATGGAGTAGTAGAAAGCCAAAAACTTTCTTTCCCAAATAAAAAATATTCTTGAAAAATATTGTTCATTGGAGTAATAAGCTCTAATTAATCACCTGAGTAAATAGGTTGAAGACCTTAAATTATTACATGAATTTCTGCATATTAGTACAAATGGACTTTGAAATTAGAAAATACTCATCAATATCAAATGCATCAGGATGGAGCACATGCAGTATATTCATATGTCCATGCAACCGAAAAATTTCAACTGTTTTCGTTGGTAGTTATTTCTTTTTATTTTTAGAAATCGGATCAGTTGTTCTTGAGTGATTAACGGTTTTATATTCGTTTGAAGAATCTGCTAAAAATATAGTTATAAAAAACTTAATTTAAAAACGAATGCTTGCATCAGTCGTACCAACTATGCCATTAACCTTAAAAACGTGAAATACAGAGGTATATAACCAAAAAGCAGCTCCTTACATTTTCAACATTTTTATTGGGAAAAAATGTTGATTGTTGAAGTGAAAAGTGACAAGAAAGGAGGAATAAGGTGTAAAGGTGACCTAGTGAATAAATATTTGTGTTTTTAAATAGTGTATCTTGTGAAAAAGAAGGCTGCCCTTTTCTGAACTTAGAAGGGCCGTAACTTCGTAAATAAGGGAGAGCGCCTCGCCTTCTTCTTTCGGATTCGTAATCTACGCATCAAAATACGTAAGTACACTCAAACATGTTTTCAAAAGCGTCGGGTGCCCTCAAAACGATATATATCATGAATAGAACTCACACCAATTTATTATTTCAAGCTTCGATAAATTTTTATGTGTCTCAATTCTAATGAAACATCCTCAGAATGCAGTTCTAAACTACAACGACCTTCAAACCCGAATGAAGATATTAACACTGAATAGGCACTAAATCCTGAGAAATATAGCATTAAAACGAAAATATTGTAATCAAGGTTGATTCTATATATTTCATAATTTTTCCTCATCTGTTTAGTATAATTTCCTTACGCCAGTGCAAGAGACAGGTTAAGACAAAAACCTCAGTAATTTCTGAGAATTTAGTACCTACTATTTTGGAATTACAGTATATATACTATTGTGACATTTTCACTTGTAATATCATAAAACTTCATGCATACAAATAATTCATTAAATCTAAAGAAATAAACTTTAAATGTTCAATCCCGCCTTGGATATACTTATACGGTAGGTTGAATGGACTGACGCCTATCAGAAAACAACTACTCCACTGGCTAATACCACGAACGGCATTGGATTATATCCAACAGGCGTCAGTGCAGGAATCTTCACGGAAAATTTCCTGCATATGCAATTGGCAATGCAATTGAAAACGTCGGCCTTCGATTTTGGAACGGGCACACTTGCAGACCGGTTTCGGGCTCTTTAGCCACTCGTCAGTGCAAGATAGTGACCATCTTTAACCTAAAGTCAATGATATTCCATAATTGAAAATCGAAATTCTTTCAGAGTATTTCATTCCTCATCTTAAGTCGGAGTGAAGATTCCTGCACTGAACGCCTGTCGGATATAATCCAACATAGAACAGGCGTCAGTCCATTCAACCTACTGTGTAGGTATATTGGAGACGGGCTTGAAGATTTAAAGCTCAGTTCCTTAGATTCGTTTACTGCCTGTCTTCAAGCATAGCCCACTGACTAATAAGGAAAATAATTTATTGTAATATTTTATATTTTTTCCAAATCTATTTCAATATTTTCTTTTACTTTCACATAGATATTTTCATTATGTGCCTACTCATTGTACCTAACTTCAACAATTTGCTCTGTAAATGGTTTCATTGTTATTATTATTATGTGATATATTAATAGATTCGTTACACTTTAGTATCTACTGAGAAAAATTCGTACACTTCTTGAATGAATATGGTTTTATTACATACTTTTACAATGTTCTCATTAAATTATCACTATTACGCATATGTATTTCAATTCGCAATAAAATAACATAATTATACGAAAAGAGGTGTGGGGAATATTTGAATTACACCAAATGAAAAGAAAATCTAAAAATGTCAAATGAAAATAAAAATTCAATCCTAAAAAATGAAATACATATCATACTATAACAAAGTTTCAAAATCATGTAATGGATTCATTGACAATAACGAATGATATATTCCGGATAAAATTCATTATCAAAAAATTTGACGAAAACGTTTTCATCATAGCTCACAGATACGTCATGCGGTTCCGGCGGTATTATCAAATCATCTTCACCCTCGCATCTCGACACTTCCAGAACTTTAACAACAATCATTATTCTCTCCCGGGGGTAACATCTCCTTGGATAATCGGAAGCGTAACTCGAAGAAGGCGAGAATGATACTCCGCACCCGTACTTGCTGTATCTATAACCACTGGAGCCCATTTTTCGCCAATCAAAGTTCGATCTACAAATCGAATCAATATTTTCTTCTTTTGTTCCATGAAATAACGTGTGTTCAGATACATCTCCATGCACAGTCTGTTTTTGACTCTTTTTCATCTGATACTGAGCGAACAGTAATGCATTTTCAACTCTCTGGATATTGTTTATTTCAGGCGGATTGCGAAAACCACCATCGAATAGCTTTTCGACAGTATTGTACTCAGAAGAATATGATACCAAATCCATTAACTCATAGGGTTTATCGTGATAGTTATATCGCCAACTTAAAACTTTCTCTACCATATATTCGTCACTTGTAATTTTTGTAGGAATCTGTAATATTCGATTTTTGTCATTCAGAGCGAGAACATCTAAACTATCACTCAGATCTTGCAAATGATCACTCATGTTTTATATACACTCAAGCGAACAGAAAAAACTTTAGAATGTATTAAAAGTATCACAAATCTGCTTTATGATAGTTGATGCTAACCGAGCGACACATTAACTCAGTTTGTTTTTTGATCAACGATTGTAGTTATTACGAATTACGAGCCGCATCAAGTACAGCAGGGTTGCCACATATTATTCAATCCAACCTGAAAATACACTCCTCAAAACAAAGGATCACACCTTTATGAGCTTGTAATTTTTTCAACAGTAAAAAATGTATTGTTTGTTATATTATTCTGAAAGGCAATGCAAATGGCTACCAAATCCATGCTAAATTATTGAATAGTTTTTTGTTGTGTATTGGGTATTTGTGAGAAAATTAACTACTAAAATCAAAATGAAAATCTTTTTACTATTGAAATCAAAAGTGAACAAAAAGTTGTTTTGGTGTTACAAATAATGGCTCAGTATCTTGTGTTTTCTCCTCGGACAGAAATCACAGGATGGTTCTTATGAGCCCTCTGAGGTTTTCTTGAGGCAAACGCTCCCAGTCTTCTCGAAGAACGATTATCAGCTCATCTAAAGCGATGGGTTGGTTTTGACGGTTTCGGATGCTTCTTCCCAGTTGATCTCAGACATGTTCGATGGAATTCAGGTCCGGGCTGCGAGCGGGCCACCCCAAAGTGGTGATAATGTGAGCTTGTAGGTACTGAGGCACTATGCCTGCAGCATAAGGACGGGCCCCATCGCACATGAAAATGAAATTGCTTTTGCGTTTTGACGTATCTGGACATCCGAAACCTCATTAAAGTACCTTTGGGCAGTCAGGGATCCGTTGCGGATGACTACAAGGTCTGTACGAACATTGAGTGTTAGTCCACCCCACACCATTATTGATCGACCCCAAAATGGGAATAAAACATCAATTCCTTCTTCTGTATACTCTAACACCATCATTATTGCCAAAAAGAGTAAACTTAGACTCAACAGAAAAGAGTACTTTACGCCAATGCCTCAGCTGCCAAAGTCTGTGTGTCCAAGCAAACTGAATTCTTTCTCTTTTGTGGCGTGCTGTAAGCCGAGGTACCTGGACTGGTCATCTAGATCTCAATCCACTTCCTCAAAGTCGCTTTCACACAGTCTGGTCGGAAATTTAGGTACCCGTTGCTCGACTTAGCTCATTTTGCAGTTTCCTGGCTGTTGAAAATGTGCGTTTGAGGGTACTTAGTCTCTAATTGTTGGTAGCGGTTCAAAAGTCTTGAAACCACTGATTGCCTTACACCCAACCTTTGACCCACCTGACGTTGAGAAACACCACCTTCAATCCATTTGACAGTCCTAGTGACATTATTGTCAGAAAGAACCTGCCACGTTACGTAAACAGGAGGTGCCAAACAGAAAATGAGTAAACTGCGTAAGAAGTCATTTCGAATGGCATAAAAACTAAATAGTTACCGAATGTAGGCAGTTTCTTTGTATGGCATGGGCGGCACAGTATAATTTTTTTTCAAAATTAATTTTATTTTTCATAAACCTACAGGGATTTTTTATTAGTAGTAAAGACAAAGAGTAATTTAGCTGTTCGGATTGACTTCATATAGACTATATAGTCTAAGATCCGACCATAGAATGACCTTCACCCATCGCGTTACGGGTTGAAATATATTTTAATATATAATTCAATATCTAAAAAAAAATATATTCCGTAAAGGTTGCCTGAAAATTTANTTCGCTGACACTCGTTTTCTGAAGAAATTGATCGGGCCGGGCAATCCCCGGGATAGTTTAGATGCGCAGCCTCTAGTAAAAGCTAAATAGGTATTACGACAAAAATAATAAGTCGCAATTGCGAAAAGGGATTGCGATAAAACATTCTGACAGCCATGACAGATATCATGGAAGTAACTGAAAATGTTGTTAACCAAGAAATATTAAACGTCAATGTGGAAACAGCTACAGCTTCACTAAACAGTGGAAAGAAAACTCCATTTGAAAATGCAACAGTACGAGAGGAGACAAGGTGCCGCACAATCGGGAAGGAAGTGAAAGCAGTTGATGATTTCGAGTGTTCCGTAATTCCCAGAAAAAGGTGATGTATACTCAAAAATTTATTACTTTTTCTACAACTGAATGAGTCAACATAAGGGAGAAGAACCTACAAAACCTCAAAGTTACACTTTGGAAGATTCTCTCATCCCTTTTTTTTGTATCAGATGGAGTACTTTACGGAATATATTTTTTTAGATATTGAATTATATATTAAAATATATTTCAACCGGTAACGCGATAGGTGAAGGTCATTCTATGGTCGGATCCTCTACTAATACCTTCTATTCATTTATAGGGAAGCTCTAGATCTTCTAATACACATATAATCATTTTTCAATAAATCATGTTGTGTTCTCATGTCCCATGTTAAGAAAAACTAATTTTCGAAGAAATTTTTTGTGAAAAAGTATACACAAAAAGTGGGAAACTTCCAAAGGAAGGAAGAAAGCAATTAACTTCGAAATGAACTTTTACAAAGATGTCTTGTGCAGATCATGCATGGATTTCACTTGAATCAAATAAGCGAATGAGTTTAATTTACTCTACATGAGTAAACTAAACTCATCCGTGGCATAAGTCATAATGTTATGAGGGGAGAGCTTCATTTTGTAATGTTATCCAGATCGGTGCCGAAGAGGCAATAAGACAAGTATCTCATTCCGAAACATCCGCCATTGAGCATGACAATGTTCCGTTTAAGTGGAATTTTACCTCTTCCAAATCTGGTTCAGTTCCATAACAAATGTTCATAATACAAAAGAATATAGTAGAAAAGAATTTATTCATCATGAAATTTACATAATTAACATTATATGAATTTATCAGACTAGTCAGAAGAATTGTGGTTCAAAATACTAAAAACTTACACTTATAAAATACCAACAGACATTTTTGAGCACGTTGTGCAATTTCTAAACGTGGAAAAGGATGGTGAATGATCAATTTTTGCTGTGTATTGTAAGAGTGTAAATCAGCGTTTTTGGTAATAGTTTGGTCATTTTATTTGATGTACATTATAAGGTGTAGAATATATAAGCTTGGTAGAGTTAAAAGGTGTTCTTTTTTAAAGACTAGCTTACATTATGATATTGGCGACATTTTATGCATGGCTCGTAATATTCGTTTGTGAACTGTAAAAACTCTGGTGATATGTGCTGACGAGCCCCAAAATATTGAGCAATATTGACTGCACCAAGCCATAGATAGTATAGTAGCCTCAGTACATGGGATTTTATTGTCTTTTATATTTTGGTTCACATAACAAAGAGAACTTGATTTTGTTGTTATTTTATTCACGTGTGATTCCGACCATTGGATCTAACGTTAAGCCTCAGTAATTTTATTCCAAAAGCTACATCAATATATTTGTTGTCAATATGTAAATAATGATTGGAATTATATGACATAGAAACTGTTATCCGCTTGAAAAATATCGCTGCCTTAGTTGAGCCATGTAATGGCACTAAATTTCACATTTCCTCCGTGATCGAAAAATCTTTTGAAATGCAGTGAATAAAAATTGTATTAATCATCAGATATCCGTCTGGTCGGTACTTTCATCCAAACATAATGAATAATACTCATATTTTACAATGTAATCACATATTTTTTTCGAAACATATTCGCCCATATCATCTATTCATCGCGCAACTGTTTGGTGTGATAATGCTACATATTCAAATTTGTCCGCCAATTTCGGCTGCATGAAACGATGAGCGCAACAATTGCGCATTGTTTTATAAAAATTCCATCGCTGAATGCTTTTTTAGCTTTGGCTTATTGTAAACGAACTCCATAAGCGGCCAAATTTTGTTCATTGTCTGTATTTACTTTTGAAAAAAAACTTGTTTGTTGCGTTAATTTCTTCTTATACTCAGCCACAACAATTTTTCTTGCTTCACCGACATGTATTTTATATTTTTTTTCGTTTAAAGTGATATAATGACGTTTAACATCATGACGTCTAACATAACATAATGACGTTTAACATCAAATTCTTCACACACAGACAAAACTTGCATACAAATCATACACTGAATTTTATTATTATTGTTTCAAATAAAATAGTCAAATTCCCACTTCTCAATAAATACACGAAGTTCGTCACTTAATTTTCGCTTCTTCTTACGCATAATGAAGTTAGTTAAGTATTTTTCTGAAAACTCGTATTTAGTATAAGCTGTGATACGAGCTGTAGTAGCTGTGATACAAGCCGCGGGCTGTGTTCTGGACAGCCTTGATCTAGAAGATTTTTGTTCAAAACAGAAAAAA